TCCAAATACTAGTTTAACTTTGCCATTCCATTCCACACCGAACCCACACAAAGCAATTCATTCCCATGAGAAAACCTCCGAAAAAATACTCCTTCAATAATTACTTCATAATATCATTTCAATTAACATTAAAATTAAGAGACAGATATAAAGCCTTAAAAAATGGCATCAATTTAAAAAAATTAAATTTCACGATGACCGCATCATGACATACAAAAAGAAGAAATTCCAGGCAAAAAGGAAAAAAAAAGTAAAATAAAATAAAGTTTCTGTCTTTTTGTTTGTAATTGGATTACATTCCATCGCAAGCCCTTCTTTCTCTTCTCTCTCGGCTACGGTTACTAACTACTTTATTTCTACTTCAGTAAGTTTATCAAATGATGATTAAATGAGATGGGAAATGAAATGAAAAAAAAAATATATAAATTTTTTTTTTCACCATCAAAAGAAAGAAGAAAGGAAAGAAGTACACAGAAAAAATTCCAAAGTCGCATAGTCTTTATGGACGTGAAGAAGCGAAGTTGAATGAGCAGTGCTGGAAGTAGAAATAATAATAATTAAACAAAAACTACTAATGGACTTATGATAAATGATCTTGTCGACGTCGAGGTACACATACACAACGGTGGTGTGTATGGAGATGAACAATCATATGCGCGCGATGATATTCTTTTATTCAATTAACTTAAAGATCTTGGTTAGATATGAAAGAAAGAGATTTTCTATTCTCAAATAAATGGGGAGCAGGAAAATAATGGGAACATGCCGGGGGTTATTTATCTATGATGATCAATATTTGAGGAAGAGATGCAGGGAGTCTGGGGCTTATTGACTAATGGACCATATGCAAACTAGAACCATTTTCAATTCCTCTCATTATGAATCAAGGTCATGTCCTAGTCAACAAACTCTTGCTATGCTACTAGGGACGTAACTTACAATGCAATCTCAGAGAAAATTTCTCAAAGAAACCAAAATTAAAAATGAAATCATTAATAAATGATTCGTTTATTTTCTCAGACTTATTCGTAAATCATTAAAATACATTTTTTGTGGATACTTCGCAGTCAGTGGCAAAAAAATAAAAACGAAATTAATGAAGAGGAAAAGACAAAAAAAAACAAGCGCGAATGTTGAAGTTAAAAAGGAATTTCAACAAGATTCATGCCCGGCTGTTCAATGGCGAAGCACAGTCATCAAGATGAGGTGAAAGAGACAGATGAAAGATGAACAACAGAGTCAGTAGATGGAATAAAAACATACAAAATGATTTTCATAACAATATCATTTCATTAATTGTTATCAGCACTTGAGAATCTCGGACAAAATGATATGTGGTGTTTATACATTCTTTAAACATGTTCGATTGTTTTCCATCACAAGCTGCTCTGATACAAATCTTTAACATTTTTTTCCTTCTCGTTCTCACTCTATCTTTTCCTCTGACTTTATATTGATTCCTTGTTCAATATAATGAACATTCACTGAGACATCCAGCCTTGTTTGATAAATGTAGGTAATATGTATATGAAAATTATTTTAAATTGACTAGAGTTGAAACTAGTTTTTTTGAGAGGGGTATGGCTTGGAAGTCACATTGTCTGGCAGATTTTTAATGTTTTATAGTTATCTGACTCCCTCCTAAAGTTATTTTTGCAACCTCTTTAAATCAATGGTGCAGCTATAGCCTTTTTTGGGGCTCTCTTAGCCTAAAATGAAGTTAGATTAAGTCTTGACTTGAGATAATCATTGTTAATCTCTACACTCGTTATGGGCAACCTGTGTGTCACGGCACATTGAGGTATTTTATCAAAAATTCAAGAGTCAAAATGTATCATGTCACAAGATAGATTGACAACTCATGCATTCCAAAAAATGCGCTCTATACCCACATACTCAAATAATAATCCCTCAAACATCTCTTCTATTATAATATAAATTTTCTGTCGATATTATATTCATGATAAAAGTTATTTCTAATTTGAGGCTTATTAGCTACAAGATTTATGGCAATAGATGTATTCAATTTATTGAGACTAATTATGTCTTTATGAAGCTTTTTATTACCATTTTTCTTATGGTTTATTTGGAGCAATATTGATTGGGATTTTTTGATAAATTTTCAACTATGAAATAAAATATTGCCATAAAAAAAATCTTATTGACAGAAAACCTGAAAGTCTACTTAATTAAGAATTATTTTTTGTTTTCAGCTGCTGAAGATTAAATTGGACGAATATAAAGATATAATTGGGATTAAGGATGTTTTGATTTGAAAGGAATTAATTTTTTATTGCTTCTTTTAGAATCTCTGATGAATGAGGCAAACCTGTCAAAAGAATGGACATTCCTGCAACTGAACGGACAACAAAAGGTTTTTAATCCCAGCTTTTTTACCTTCCGTACCTCACAAATTGTGCAGGCACAAATTTTGTCAATTTCTTGGAAGTTTTATTTGTTTTCTTAGAATTTTTCTATTCAGCACTTCCAATATCCTTTTAGAAAAAAAAAATATGAATGTACTAAAAGTAAATCCCTCAGCATGATATTCCAATTATGTCGAAAATATGTTTCAAGGGCACTTCCCGTAAAATATTTTTTAGTTGTTAACAAAGAAATTTAATTTCAACACATTATAAAAATTCCTTCATCCATGCTAAATGGTTGAGCGCACAAGATAATATTTTTTTATAGGTATGGGGTTCGTTCAATAATGATGTGTATGATGTAGGACTCATTAGGTCACTTTGAGAAGCTTCTTAAATTCAGCTTTCTGTTTTAATAATTAAAAGACATGATGGCATCACAAGACAACTATAATTATTAAAATACACCACTCATGGATGATCCCCATCTACCAGATATAAAGAATTCACATGATGACTAAGAAATTGAGGCTTATTTCTATTTGTACAGGTTTAATTATGCTCAACTCTCTTACTTATGCTGTTATTATTAGGTATTATTATCATGATAATTGTTTGGATGATTTGTAGAAAAAAAGGAAATTTCATTTTCACATATTTAAAGTGAAATGAATGAAGGCGGTTTGATGATTGTTTTCAAGGCGGAGAAACTATCCAAATGAATTTTTTTTGAATGTTCATGCTTAAGTTTGATGATATTATTTGGTTTTTATTATTTTGAGGCGTGAGAGTTTTGGAAGAAGAGAGATGGATGAGAATTGCATTATGGGATTTTGAGGACAGATGGTTGTTGAAATATTGATTATGAATATTGAGGAATTTTAAGGATTGATGTGTATTTCTTAGAGACTATTCACCGGGTCTATTTCAAGAGTTTATGTAAGAACCGAACCCGTAAGAACAATATGAAATGACGAGGAAAATAGGGGGGGAGGGGGGGGGGGTGCCTCAAAGAATTATTTTTTTATTCCACAAAAATTCTAAAATCTCAAATTCTAATCAGAACTCATCGAGTGAATCTTCAATCTTAATTTACAACTTATACGTTGATAATTAAATCATAAAACTATCTTTAATCGACGAAAGTCAAAAACACCAGATAAAACTCAAAAAATAAAACTAGAATCTAAACAGTCACATCCCCTAGTTCCATAATGAAGTTCTCACTACAAAAAATATTCCATCTAATGTGTAATGTATAAAATAAACATACGGAAAAAGATAAAAGAAATAGAAATATCATTTCAAAGCCGATATTTCTTCGATCATTATAATAATAAAAAATAAAATTTTCTCCTTTTTTTCATGTTTATTTATTTAATTCTCTCTGAACTCTTAAAGAAACGAGAATTCTTATACATTTTATTGTTATTGTTCAGATCTCATACGAGAGTGAATCTATCAGAGAGTTCTTAATAAAATTCATTAGAATAGACTTCCTGTATAATCACTTCATTAAAGCTATCAACAATAATTCTCTCATCATGATGATGTAGATGATGATGATGTTTTGATAATCATAAAGCCCAAGCTCATAAAAAAAAAAGTTCATTAGATATGAACGTAATGTGATTGTTATGTATTATTAATTAAGCTTATTCTCAAAATGATGTTTCAATATTAACAACAAATAAAATAAATATTATGTATGATTCTAAGCTCATGATAGACGAAATATACATCTCATCATGCCTATTTAAAATCAAATTTTTCTTATTTTTTTATTCTATCAATTGAAAAAGTTAAGAAATTTTTTTGTAAGCAACAAATAGAAAATAAAGTAAATGTTAGAAGAAACTCGAGGCGGAGAGTTCGGTGAATAGTAATAGAAAAATAATAATAATAAATTTTTGATCTTGAAATGATGATTATAAAATAATAATTCATGGTCAAAATCTTTCACTAAAGCTTGCTTCATGTACCATATAATGGGATACCATATAACTTGATTGATTGATCGCGAAATCATTAAATATTCATAAATATTATTATCTACTGTTGCTATTGCCCTTTTCTATTTTATTATTATTCTTGATCGACTCGCGGCAGTGAAATTGGAAATTTTTATTGTGGGGAGCATTCGTGAATTACGTTTGCTCCTGGTTTTTGAGGCTACTTACGATGCCTATCTAATACATGATTCCTACAAGATTTTTGTTCTAGGGTATGGTTCCTCAAAGAGCATTAGGACCTCAAAGGGGTTTGAATCAAAATTTTAAATTCAATCTTCAACACAAACTTGCACCATAGAAGACAGAATAGTCTATAATAATGTCACAAAAAGTTTGATACATCTCAAATAATTTTTTTAATGGGTGTCATTTATTTTGAACATTCTACTCCAGGATCAGAATAATTCTTAAAGGCACAGAATAAAACGAAAAAGTTCTTAGTAAGGTCAATCAAATTGCAGCTAAATCTGAGAAATCAATGGCATAAAAATGGAACTTATAATTAACTAATCAGTGCTCGAATTATTGAATTAATGCTCTTAAAAAGCTTGCACTAATAAATCCTTGACGTCATTTACAAACTCCCCCCAATTATGATTATGGTATATTTTCATGTACTTACAATTCTTATTGATTCGATGAGATAATCAATTATCCTTATGATTACAATTTTTTTTTCTATTTTTTTTTCTCAATGCTTAACGTTGGTAGCCACCACACATGTCCATTAATTTTATCTATATTTCATCACCACTATAAATTTTATAGTAATTATCCATTCGGTTGGTTTTTTCGGCTTATAAGGAAAAGATCAAAGTTCTCCTTTTATTTATTTTTTCGAAATGTAATGATTCAAAATTATACGATATATCTCAGGTAAATATTTTATTTTAGCACTTCCTTTCCTCATCCATTCACCTGTTAATTCACAAAAAAAAATATTTTTTTCTTTCTTCTTATTTTCTTTTATTTTTATTTCTTCCTCTTTTTTCGGTTTCTTTTAAGAAATTTTTTATCTATGCACTTCACTTAACTATAGTTCTATTCAACCTTACTTCGTTCTAATTTTACATCAATTATTTCATTCGTTTTTATATTTTTTTTCTCTTTACTACATCCACGAGATTTGAGAAAAGATTTCAATGCTTGCGTTCACCGCAACTTGCGAACTGCAACTGGTTCTGTACGATCGTCTTTCTGCTTCACATGATTTTCTCTCTTTCTCATTTTCATTCATTCATACAAACTCATTGTTGTTGTTTTTTTGGGTCTCTGAATGAAGAAATGAAAAATACATTGTGTGTTAACGTACAAGTATGAGAAAAATATAAACCTGTTCCTTTGTTGTTATTGGCACTGAGGGAAATATTTTTTGTGAAAGGAAATGTTCTGATTAGAGGAATATGGGGTATTTTGAGGCCTTGTCAGACTCAGTAGATTGGGCATAAATTCACATAAATATTCACATAGGCATATACCTTACCTGCAAAAAGGTAAAGCATTTGGAGGGGCCAATCTTTTGAACTGGAGACACTGCGATTCAAATTATAACAGAATCTTTTATAACAAAACCTTTTAGACCAACAGTTTACAGTGGAATCCAAAGCACTTGCAAGCTCTGCACATTGCAAAGTCACGAATACGTCTAAAGAGCTAGTGTACCTTGCAATGTGTTAATTACAATTCGTGTGCGCAAGATATTGTTATGAAATTGTCCAGATGCTAGTATATCCTAGTATTCCTAGCAACGGAGACACATTATGTGCCGAAGACCTCAAAACTATACTCAACAAACAAACCGAGCTTCGTAACTAGAACCGTGAAATGGAAAAAGAGCTTCTAAGACTTGACTTGGCCTGGGATTGAACCCACAACCTTTGGCACGTAAGGCCAACGCTCAACCACTTTGGCCACTGATGACATTACACGATAAAGCATCTTGAAGACAACATACCAAAAAAAATTCATCTCTTCAATGAATTCACTCAAAAAATTCCTCTCAGTGTATAACGTGTTAAAAGAAATGTTCATAGTAAATGTAAAGACAGTGGCAACATCACAACACTCAATCACTTGTTTACCTTTGTATGATTGTATGTGTGTTGAACATTTTACGTACGAGCATGTGAAAGAGAAATTCACCACAGAGCGCGCACACAGCACACAGCAAACAGATTGAAATTCACCATACGGATAGCATGCGACTTGCGTTTATATTTTGCGACAACAAACAAGAGGAATGAGCTTCTTATATAATTGTAGTAGCATTCTTTGTGGATGCTCGTGATATTATTGCTATTATTTTCAATCCACAAGATAAAATAAAATAATATAAAAACGGAGAAGTCGTAATAAAAAAATTAAAATAAAGCAGGAGATTATAAATTATGTTTTTTGAGATTTAACTCTGCTCGAATCTGGAAAGCGACATGAGAAGGAGATGGGAAGAAGAAGATGTCGAGAGCAGAAGTAAAGCAGACATAGCAAATTCCTTTGAAAAGCGATTCATTAAATTAATTTAGATATCGGTTTTTGTTGCTTCTCATTTCTCATTGTTGGTGCTGCTGTTGCTATCAGCGTTTACAAGAATTGAAAAAAAAGAGTGTATTTAATACTCTGGTCAAGATAATTTCTTCTCTCAAATCGCCATATAATGTTGAAGTTCATTTGAGGTATTGGCAAAACAGCGGCAAACGTATCATAATAAATATAATGATAAAATATTGGGTACGGCTTTACACAATCAATTTCTCTTTCTACCTTCCTTTTTTCGCTCTCTTCCATTCTTTCGTTCATTGCCAGAAGCGATTTATTGTCATCATGAGCCACAAAGTCCTTATACTGCATATTAATTAAATTTATTGGCTGAATATATATATTTTTTATTTTTTTTTGTGTCTTGTGTAGACGAAACGAGAATGGAAGGAAAATTTGCAACATGCGAAAATTGATCTCTCTGTTGAAGCCTTTATTATACTACAACATCATAATTTATGCATATATACACACATACAGATTATTTCATCTTATAATAAAAAGTTGCACTTTTTTTCATCAATGTGAGATACATAAATAAATATATATTATACACATGTGTATTAACAATTGTGCCTATGCATGACATGAATTTAGCGCATTTTAAAAGTGAATTGGTTCGTGATGGAATTTTCGATGAAAAATTTATTTATGGAATTTTGTGTGAAATTTTGACGAAATGGCAAACTTAATCTAATTGTTTAAAAAGTGTCAAGAATTTTACCAATTTCACCAACTGACCAGACATCATAATTCATTTTTTAGAAAGTCGTAAAAAGGTTTTGGGATTTTTTTGAGTTCCTACCCATCTTAGACTCTCTTGACTATACCCAATTATTTAAGAACATCATTTGAGATCAACACCAATTCAGCTGATCACATCCAGTTCTACAAGATAAAAATTAAAATTTGCCGTGCTATAGCACTCAGTATGTGTGCTAATTTCTAAGAAAACAGCAGCAAATTCATAAGAATATTACACTCATTAATCTTATAAATACCTTCTGAATCCAGAATAAATTATCAGAAACTCAATTAATCTCAAATAACGGTACACAAATGCTTGCCAATTTCAACAGATTCAATCTTACTTCCTGCGTTCTTAGTAACCGAAAATTGATAATCAATCGGAAAAGCAAAATATAAATCAGCATTCAGAATAGACAGCCAAAAAGTGGACAACAGCAACAGTTTCCTCTGCGAAGAAAAAAGAATCACTAAAAAAAGATTATAATCAAGAGATAAGAGAAGGAAAGATGCCAGAAATGGAATCTACTTTACATGTCAGATGCAGCTTATGTGTGAAAGAATTCTTTTTTTTTTTGCTGCTGCTGCTGTTTCTCAAAATAATATAGGCAGCATTTTGCTAGCGGCCTTTTTTTATGTTATTCTCTTGCTCTCGACTTTATTTATCCCTGGCTTGTTCGACTTCATTCTACAAATGGTAAATATTTGAACATGAATGAAAAATATTTTAATGCGAACGAAATTTATTGCATTTTTCAAATTTTCTCATTTGCAATTTCAACATAAAAAATGCTTTAGTTTCATTTTCATTGCTAGTTATCTTTAGGGGTCGATTGGAAGTGAGGTTTGGTATTTAAGAGGATGAAGGTCTGCTAGGGTGACAAACATAAACCTCAATTTGGACATGTAACGAGAAGCGTAGTATAGATGATAGCTAAAGACTAATTATATGGTCTCTCGGTACTCGTTCTCTTTGCCGATCTTACCGAGCGGGATGGAGACTTAAAGCTGCACCTACTAAATTTTACATGACATCATCGTCAATAGACCCCAAAAAATACTTTTCCAGCTGAAGTAAAAGAGTTAAAAAGTCACATGAAATAATAAATAAATTTGTAAAAGTTGACTGCACCGTCTCTCACGGGATGCCAATTTTATATGCATAACAATTTTTTTATGTTACAATCTGTGATTTTTATGAGCTCATGAGACGGAATGGGAGGCACAAAATTATGTGTAAATTGACTGAGGACCGTTCATAAATCATGTCCAACTTTTGCGGGGTAAAAGGTTCGTTGCTGTGTATCAGTTTAATAAAAGCATTAAAAAACATATAAAAAAGCAAGGAGGTGGTCTAAAAATCCCATTTTTTCATGAACGTCACTGACAAATGACCCCTAATTTCTCCCTTGAATGTAATTAAGGTGTATAAAAAAATTCACATAAAAACGCGTTTCAATTATTAAAGGGAACATGACGAGCGAGTAGAGTGTCAAGGGCCTGACTTGAGCACCACTTCAAAAACACTCGAGACCTTACTGCACGTCTCATTTAGTCAAGAGCTGCATAATGAAGGAAAATTGCATTTCATGTAATTTTTTTATACTACAAAAGATTGTATAAAAAAATGAAGTAAAGTGAACAGCTTTTAACCAGTTTTATATTTTTTTTTTCAATTACGCAATGACTGTTGATGAATCTCTAGCTTTAAATCTATTATTGCATGAATGTTTTATAAGATAAAATTGTTGATGTCTTTAATGCACTTTTCAATATAATTTTTTCTAAAAAGTATCAATTTGTCGACATTATAAAGGGTCTATTGCTGATGATGGAGATGATGTGTAATTATTAGGAGACATAGCATATCATTTTGTAATGTTGTTCCTTCCTTTTATGGCTGATCATATAATTTTGATTGTTTTGAGTTTCCGATTAGGAATTTTTTGTGTAGACATGAATGAATTTTTGAGGGAATTTAGGAATTATGAGTCAGTAAGAATTCCAATTATTTCCTGAAATAAATCTTGCTTTAATTAAAAATTCAATAATATAATCTAGTCATGAATCGATTGACATAGGAGAATTCAAGACCACATATGAAGATCGTGAGAGATTCTTGAGTCTCAATTTGCTTGATTTAGATTTAATTAAGATAGCTTTTCTTTATCATTTCCTTAAAAATCTAGCAAACGAATGTAGTTCCAATATGAACAGTTTTCATGAAACCCTTAGTGTCGAGTAGCGACAAAAAAATTTATGGACATCATAAAAGGTTAATAAAAGTACCTTCAATGTTTTCAATATTTTAAAATATTAAAATTTGACCTTCATTGAACCTTTATTGGATTTTCATGTAATTTTCGTAAAATTTTTAAACTTTAGTAGAGTGTTTCTCAACCTAGGCTCCCAGCGTGCAGCGGACACATTAACGGATGATTTGCTGCTCCTTAAGTGCTTTGTGGACTGAAAAGTTTGAGAAACACTATTATGGGTGATATGAACTTTAAAATTGAAAAGAAAAGTCACGACTTTAGTCGATAAAAATTAAAATTCAAATTCAAGGACTTGAAAATTTTCTTCCTATAAAAGCAGGCACAGCTACATTTCAAGTCAGTTTTTGTTTGAAAAACTTTGAATTTAGGTAAAAAATGAAGCTGCTCGAACTTCTTTTTCTTAGTACATCAATTTACATTTCCTTTGCTGGATCACCAAGCTATACTCCTATTAATAGCATTATAGATGAATCGACATTGCAGTCAATAGTTTCATCAGGTCCTTGGATAACAGAATCGGTTTTGTCAAGCAATATTCAAGTAGATAGCTCTACCAATGAGTCGTCAACACAATCTTTGACTTCATCAAACCATTCGATAGAAGAAACAGCATCACAAAGCAGTATTCAAGTAAATACTTCAATTAATGAAACTTCATTGCAATCTATATCTTCATCACGCTCCTGGATAAATGAAACTGTCGATACAAGACCTCTTTGCATCACCTGCTACGTTTTATTCAAGACAAATGTTACCACAACTCGAAATTGTAATTCAAACAAGAAACTTATTTGGGAACTTTGGTATAATGTCAGTAGCATTCAACGTGGTGGATATTGCATTGATTTTGAAAGTTTGCAAAATATTGAAGAAATTGATTCTCAAATTACTTCAGTAGTTGCAACTTCTCTCACAATTACAAATAGTTGGGGTTCAGGCTCTGGAGTTGGAACAGGTTTTGGTGGAATAGGAGTAGGGGGAGGAGGAAGTGTTGGTTCTGGAAGCACAAATGGAGGTGCAGTTAATAAATCAACTACAATTTATAAATGGAGTATAGGCCAAAAAATTACAGTACAGACTGGTATATTACCTGATTGTATTCCATGTCATGACTTCCTTCATCTCGCTCCTAAGTTATCACCTTTCGAATGTAATCCTGGAAATGCTATGAAGATTAAAGTTACTTATGAAGTTTCTCCAGGTAAAGAGGAAATGGGATATTGTGCTGGACAAATAACAATGAGTGAAAAAGAATTAAGGAACATCCAAAGTTTGTTTTGGACCGAAAAAACTCAGGAACCTAAATGTGAAGAGTGTAGTGATGTTTTAGCATTAAGAGTAAATGCGTCTAAGGAATTTTGTGACAACGGAAATGACGTTGATTATCGTGTTCAATTTTATGATCGAAATTGGAATTTAACATTTGATGGCTTTTGTGTATACAGTAGGACAATATGGATTAATTGGAATAAAATGAATAATTTGCTTTTTGCTCAAGTTTATCGACTTAATTTAAAACAATATTATTACTGGATAAGAGATGATGCAACTGAAATAGAGAAAACATCTTGTCAGCCATGCGCTAAATTGATATATGAACATAAAACTACAACAAATGAATGCAAGTCAAATGGCAAGCCACTTTGGCAAGTATGGTTCAATACAACATATGAGTCATATGCAGGATATTGCATCGATTTCTTAGAGATGGACTTAAACTTGATTGCTGATAACTATATTATGTATATTTTGGCTACAAATCAATTATCAACATATGAATGGGTTAGATCTGGATCAGAAGTAAAAAAAGTTACCGAAATCTATCCACCATGTGTGAACTGTAGTGAAGTTGTTAATGGCGATACACATTTATCATCTTTCTATTGCGATCCTGGGAATCAAACTAAAGTAAGAGTTTATTTTACCGATGCTGAGTATAACAGATTTGAAGGATACTGTGCTGGATTCTATCAAAATTATACTGTTAACAATACAATATACAATCCAAATCATGCAGAAATGTATTACATACATAACACCTACACTTGGAATGAAAAATGTGTCAATTGCTATGATGTTTTCGTGTCAGGTGCAAATGTTTCAAGATCAGATTGCGAAAAAGGAAATGAAACAGTTTTTATAGCAAGTTATTCAAAAAGACAGTATACTGCACCTTACCAAAGTTATGTTTACGGATATTGTGTTAAGTTCAATCCTAACGATTTTGATGACTGGAACTTACAAGAAGATATATTCCGTGCTTATATTGGTTTTCGTAATTATTCTCAGTATTGGGAAAGGAATGATTGTGTGCACTGTTATTCTGTTCTTGTTTCTGGAAGAGAATTATCTCCGAGAAATTGTTTAAGTGGAACTGAGCAGCAATGGCATATCTCATATTCGATTCAAAACATAGACTATAAAGGATATTGCAAAGGCCTTGAAATAGACAACTTAGATTCCTGGGGCATAACAGATAATATTGAAAACTTAGTTGCTAAAAATGGAACAGAATCCTTTACTTGGCAAAGACCTATAGCAAGTCCTGAAGAATGTGTATCTTGTTATGATGCTATTGTTTACGGATCCTCATTGTCAACTCAAAAATGTAATGATGGAAATGAACAACGTTGGTTTGTTACTTATACAGACTACAATTCAAAGTACTATGAAGGCTATTGTATAGGGATTTATCCAGGCAGTTTTTATTATTGGAATATAAACCCGAACATAATAAATATTCATGTCAATAATGGAATAGAGACTTACTATTATGAAAATCCTACATCGAGTGAAAGCTATACACCAGAACCATTACAATGTGTAACATGTTTTGAGATTTTATTATATAGATCAAGCTTGAACCCAGATTGTGATCCTCAGGGACAGATCTTATGGGATATTTGGTTCAATTCTACTGATGCTTTTACTGATGGTGGCTTTTGTGTTAATTTCATGGAAACAGATTTCAATGGTATTGGAGAAGCTATAACATATATAAGAGCTTCAAATGGATCCTCAACTGTTGAATGGTTTAAATCAGATCCAGAAATCAAAGAAGTTACTAAACAATTTCCACCATGTGTAAGATGTAGTGATGTTGCTAACTCTAACATTCCTTTTTCATCTCTTGACTGTGATTCTGGATATGAACGAAAAGTAAGAGCTTTATACAAAAACAGCTTGGGTGAAGAACATATAGGATATTGTGTAGGAATTGACAGCTACGACTATTCATTTGTAAACCTTACTAGTGTTACATTGTATGACAGGGATCATACTTATTTTATGCCTGATTCTCAGAATGCTACCTAATTTATGTTTAGCATCTGAGATTTTTTATAAATTTTTTAAGAATTAAAAAATAATAAAAATATAGAATCGAATTAAAGATTTATGTGTTATATGGAACAAAATGTAAATAAAGGTCTACCTTTATATGACTCACACCTCAACTTTTTACTTTGGCCGTTATTAATATACAGTTCTGGAACCATTTCTTACGTGAAAAAGTAGGTCTGGATAATTATTCAAACATTCATGGTCGGAGAAATAGTTTCGAGGCACTTCAAGGTAGTCATGGATTACTTGAATATTATGTGACTCTTAAAAATGTTGATTCAGGTACACTTATGTGGAGTCCTTACCCTAGTCGAACCTACTTTCGTTTGTTTAATGTTGCATAAGCGAGAATTACTGGAGATTTTTTTAAATGTTTGCATGCTTGATGTGCGGCCATCCTTGTAACAAACTAATCAACAAAGTTGCAACAGGAAAAATCAACAAAATAACTTCCTTAATTGTCAAAGAAACACATACTTAATTTTCATGACGATAATGGAGCATCATTATGTTATTACATTGTCATATAAGTGCTATCATCATCACATAACCTGAAATATTCCATTGCTGATCATCTTTATATGCACAAACAATCTAAAAAGTTCTTGAAAGTAATCAATTCATTAAAACTTTTATAAGATTTTTTTTGGATTAACTTCAGATTAATCTTTAGCTTCTGATTCCGAAAACGATACAGATTGAAATATAATACCACTGGAATTGAGTTAAACTTTAAAGCTTAATACTCAATATTCCTTTTAATGATAAATAAAATCCAGATTTTAATTCCCTTTCAATGACTGCAATCGTAATAAACTTTTGGCCGTAAAAAAATTCTTCATTTTCGTAATTAAACTTTCCCTTTCAATACTTATACACGTAATACCCGATACTCAATAAAAGGTGATGATCACAATGATGTTGATGATGATGACATTAAGAAGCAATACACAAAACCTACCAATTATTGATCTCTCATTATTGATACTTCCAATTTTTATTACTTTACCACACTCAATGTCAATTGTGTGTTTTTTACAAAATGAGAGATTCGAAGAAGGCAAAAAGGGTAAAATAATAATAATAATTGTCGTTGGAATATTGCAGCAATTTATCACTGAATAAAAAAAAGAGAAAGAATAAAAATATCCCTAAAATGTCATTGCAATGAACTTGTCGTTGATAGAAATCAACAATTTATTACAATTTATATTTATTTTTGCGACCACGGTGAGCATATATTACAGGGTTGGGATTTTCTTAGAATTGATTTGATTCTGTATTGATATAGTGAGTTGATGGTGAAGTATTTTGAGGATTCTAGTATATAAAAGTTATAGGGATTCTTGTTTAGAGACCTATTAGACTGACTTTTAACTATATCAAGATATAAGTACTAGAAAGGCTAGATTATAAGCTAGAAACATCAATGCCACCAAAGAAGTCTTATTATCAGAGCTCGAAATCGACTCGAGTCAACTCGTTATTATATTCCTTAAGACTAAGTTTAGTGTAGTAGCATGACTAATCCTCACTCATTAAACCATCATTTACCGCATAAAACCTTCCCTCAACTAAAAAGTGATGAATCAAACCTAAGAGCAGCTAGTTATACTTCTATAATATCAAATCCACCTTCCCAACCCTACAAAATTATATCAAAAGAACTTAAATAAATATATTTGCTGTCGCACATACTCACATTGTACATTAGTTTAATCCGAATGGATATAAATTTCATTAAAGCTATTCCGTTTCTTGTAATTCTCAATGTTATTCTTGTTTCCCTTAACAAAAGAGATCAATCTTTGAGAAACCTCACAGCACAAGCAAAAGAACAGAGAGTCAATTAATGAGACCTAAATTATGGTTTTGCAATGCATAGGAAGAATTCATTTTTATATGACAATAGACTGTATAGTGACAAAAGCACAATATTTCTAACCAAATCACGTAGGAATGTAATGGAGATCGAATTTCATGAGAATAAAAAGGAAGAGAAGAAGCATAAAGAGAGGAAGCTGAATGTTATGATTGAATATTCATAAGTATACGATGTCTAATGTAAAGACAGCAAAGCAAAAAAAAATACCTACCTGCCTACTTCTTTGAGTCTACACAGATCGCACAGATCTAAAGGAATTTTTATTTTGAAATTTACGACTGTCGTATTAAAAAAAATTCTTCATCATTGCGAGGCACAACGAAAAAAATAGTGTTTAGTAAATTTTCATGAATTGTAAATGTGCAATGTGAAAAAGGGCATTGCAATGCATTATTCCTTCTTACATACTTACGTATGCTTCTCAAGGCGGTGACTACAAATTAACGCAATAGCTATAAAAAGGTCTACTGACTTAAATAATATAAAAAGAACAGTGCTGCTGCATAAATGAATATTTAATTTGCGCCTTCTGTATCAATGTGTAATGGTAATGGCAAGCGGTTCTGTTGTACATTGGATATATCTTCAGGGCATTGTTTTCCCATTGATTGATGTTCCCAATGTGCAATTCACAATTTGCTTTAGCCATTGTGTCACTTCTCATGCTTTAATTTTAATTTTGTTTCTGGATTTTTTTTTTATTTCTCATCTTGAGCTTAAGAAGCTAAAAAGATTATTTGTCTCCATCAATCAATCAATCAATTCTGCAGGTTTTTCTTCTACTCTTATTTTATTGCTTTTGTTTTAACTTTATTTTATGATGCAGCTGCAAAATATCTATGTTATGATTATTCCATAAATGCAGAGCGTTGCTTATGAAAAGGTTAAAATAAATCTAATTTAATTGGAAGAGTCATTAAGCTTTGGAGATGTGTTTTGTCATAACGAGATCATATCGTTGACAGGAATGGGTATGGGCTAATAAAGTTGAGGGATGTATGGACGGTAATGAGCCAGCAATTTGAAATATGTTTATTGTTTCTAGAGACTTGCTAATTGAAGGACATATTAGACTTTAAATGTTGTTCTTTAGAAAATTATAGACAAAAAGATATCTTCAGAGCACATTAGGAAAACTAGGCATGCAGACAGGATTTTTTAAGGTCAAACCTGCCTTCGAAAATTTCTGGCTACTTTCCTGCACCCAAATAAAGATGTCAACTACAATCCTGTGCTTTTAGCATTGTCCAGATGAGCTTATACTTATGTCATGTAGCCAGCATCCTGCCAGTTTAATATCAAATCCGGTTTCACGCTTACCTTACGACAGCCTGGTGCCATTTTTTCATTATTTTTATGTCACATGCCATTCAAGTCATCTTCAAGCTATAATTTTTGTTTAAAATGTCAATCTCAGATAGTTGAAAATAATCAGATAAGAGATGTTCATTCCATAAAGTCCACTACAAGACATAACAACATCACAACACCATATAAGCTCATGAATCATGTCCATTTACATTTCTTCTTCATTTTAAACATAAACAGCAGGTGTATCATTAATTACTGTGTTTTTGGATAATTAATTCTTGTAGCTTAAGGGCATCGACACCAAAGAAAAATTCCACCTAACACATCAGCATCACCTGGCATCCTTATGGCAATTAGTAACCATGTCAAATTCACACTTATTAAAAAGAAAAAACAAGATGAGAATTATTTTTTATTACCCTTCAAAGACAGAAATGGCATGATCTAGCTTACATTTCATGCCTCGTCATTACATGTGTAAAATGTTAGCTGCTGAGCAGAAGAATTCCAATTTAGATGTCACTCCAGAGATCTTGAGAACGTAAATCATGTAACAAGGAATGTTTCAATTACCACCTGCCACATTATTATTTGTAGAATATCCTGTCGTTCTTCTATCCAAGCGAATTTTTATCGCCACTAAGCTGTTCATTAGGAATAAATTCTAATAAAAATTGATGTATGTTTATGAACAAAAATCACTACGATGATAAATTGAATAGAATTGCTATTAATTAAAATCGAAATTACCGCACACAGTCTAGATGATTTAAAGCTCTTTATTTATTTTTCATATGCGAGTGATCGTGAGGGAATTCATTATGGAGATTATAATTACTCGAAGAATCAATAACATAGTGTAAAAAAATTGCATTTAACGCCAATTAAGCAGAGCTTAAATTGAAACTTTAGACTACTGTCAAATATGATATTTAAATAAATGCTCAGATTTACTCAGACTCAGGGTTGGGTTTTGAGGATTTTTTAAAGGCAATTTTAATACAAATCAGATTCATGGTCAGCTATTCAGCCAAACTCGCACATTTCCCATAAAATTATCGCAATAGCCATTCCCACTAAAGTCACGGATAATCGACAGGCCTTATCACAATTTGCCATGACAGCGACAGGCAATATCATGCTGTCTTACAAATATTCACTGACTACCGTTCAACTCTGACAACACAAAAAAAAGACCTAGCAAAACAACAGCAGCACCAGCAGGCCTTCATAACGACACTTGTCATAAACATTTACACACACTTAAAATCCCCATGCAAAATAATTTTTAAAAAGTGATACAGAAAAAAAATATCGAGTGGTGTCAAAAAAATTTCAACCATTAATTAAATTAACATGAAATCTGTTTTGTTTATGGCCAAACGAGTAGCCAGGAGCAAGTTTAAAGCGATTAGAAAATGAAATGTTGTATGTTTGCTAATAAAAAGCCATGTGATTGCATTTTAATGACATAGAATATGAATTATATTGAATATTGAATTACAGAATTTAGGGATCAATCGGAAGTTGTGGGATGGTGATGTAGATTTGCTGGAGATTAGCGCAAATCTCGACTGGTATGGGGATAGTCTAGAACAAGGCATGGAATAGAGCAGAGATCGAGCTACGCTTTGACTAAAGGGAGGTTAAGGTTATGCACTGAAAAAGCTTAGGTTAGGCTTTGACTTAGTTGGGGCTTGACTTGGTTTAGGTTTGTTCTAGAAAAGGTTTTTAAAAGGCAATTAAACTGCAAATTTATAACTCAACAATTGCTACT